CTGGGCCAAGCAAAGGTGCTGAACGATATTCGTTTTACGTCAAAAGCTTTTCTATAAAATGATAAAATTTGAAGCAAACTGATTGACAACCAGAGGTCGCAAACACTTCTTGCCTAAATTGAATCGAGCAATTCCTTTGCTCTTAAAGTTGCAAATCGATATAAATTGCGAAGGCCGACGAAGTAAAACGAAATTATACAAAGAGTAAAAAATAAATACAAACGTCCAAATATTTAAATATATTTCTCAGAATACTGAATTCACAAACGTGCAAAACCAACACTAGAGATCGTGACCCAGCATGGTTTGTTGGCAGAAACATGCCTAAAACATTCAATGAAATAGCAAAATTTATTGCGCAGCGAACAAACTATAGATTCAGACTTCAACCAACATATCAGAGTGTGCCAAATTCAAAGGAAAAAAGTTTACGCCATGAATCCGATAAAAAACAAGCTTCTTTCACCCAGCCAAACAGTTGAAAACCCCCGAATTTGGCTCTCTTTTTCAATCTATTTTTGCAAAGCATGCGTGCATGCAGCTCAAATCCATTTCAATTGAACACACCAAATAGATTATCGGTAGCGATCTGTTTCTATTGACAGTTACAAATTTTAGGTATTTATGTAAGAGTTCAAAAATATCGGATCACGTTTATAACATCAATGAAATTACAAATTAACACCATATTTTCAGTCTGAGCTGAGCGAAAGATAAATCAGTGGAGCTTATCAAGAACCGGATCTATTTTACGAGATCTTAATCTTAATGAGGTCTTAATAAAATTTAACCACAATGTCTGACACCTCTTGGAATGAATTCAATTAAAGATACGTAGAAACACGAATTTAGGTAGAATTGTTGAGAAGACTCCATTACAGTTTGCCTGAATGAACACACATTGTAGTAACCGTTATCAGCGACCCTTTGGAAAATACTTTCTGTACACTGCGTGGCCTCTTCTTTATATAAATGCTCAGGTTATCAAAGAACTCAGTGAAACGCTATTGTATTGTGTCCTCGGGGACCTAGAATGTGCCAGGATCCAGTAAATGATTACTTTTCATGCAAATTTTATTGCCGTATGGACATTTATGTTCAACCTAAGTTTCTGTTTAATGTTTACTTAAACGTTTGTAAAAAATAATTATACATTATAAGTATATACACAGTCATTCTTTATTCGGGATGGATATCACAATGTTAAATATTATTTAGCGCGGTAATTTTGTTTGATACGCTTCGCCTATTCATAGACAAGCTTGACAACTTTTTAGCATTAATTTACTAGCATTGTGACAAATTGTTAGCTGAATGTGAACAGTAACAAGATTACCAATTATAGTTTGACCACACCCAGTAGACTGTGACTAGACAATCCTAACTATGATCTAATGCTAACTTCGTGAGAATGGTGTAAATGCTATGTAGGTAGGTGGTATATACAATCAACTTTAGCATTACGACATTTTCATGTCGTAGGCTAAATTTAGCGATGCAGCTAGATTATAGCTACAACAAAGAAACAGTCGACAATGTAGAAACGTAATACAAGTGTGTTGTATCGTCTGAACCATTGTTTGACGGAATGTTATGTAACGTGAATATTAAACAGCTTAGTTTACATTTAAATAATTTGTGAGGTTAGTTATTTGAACTGAAGCTTTGTCTTTTTCGCGAACACCATGTCTCAAATTTACTCAACGAGTTCGTGTCCTTTCACCGTAAACTATTCTACCTCCGCAATTGCTCCCCTGACCGACGAACCTCATTTTACATCAACCAACGTTTCCTCTGATTCTAAATACAAAACATTGTTACGAATACAAAATTCAGTTGCGACTTTCGAAGAGTTCATTTATTTGATTCCCTTTAAGATTATTATCGTCCACGGACTTCGTTTACTCGGGACAGATAGAATCTTTTCCTCATAAATTTTCTTATCTTACGGTACTTTGTCCACAATTGAGCAACAGTGTTGAGGACGCCAGGGCTCCGTGAAATTGATTCTGAGACAGTCTGAGATTGCGAGGCGGCGCGGTGCAGCAGACGCGAGTCACGACCATAGCGGAACACTTCAATGTGTAGAACGTGCCTTCGGCTTCGTGCTTATTAAAAATACAGAGACGTTTCTTGAATATCATAAACTGCTTTTCTATACTCAAACTGTTCTATAGCTAAATCTCCTAGGCCATAAAATTATCAAGTCATTTTAAACCTAGCTAGAGCTAGGTTATTACCTCACCACTGGTTGGCATGACATCTCCAACTTAGTCGGGATTAGTATTCAGGAGCTCAAGTCAGTTACGTACTAATAGCTTAACCACGGATCATTGTCCCTTATTCGGTTTAAAATTGACTCTTCAATTTCCCTTTTTAACGATTCCCAGTCTAATCTAATTATTACAATGGCTGTTTCGCTTTTATTTGACGATCATTTGGTTTTTGAAGGCGAATCTTTTCAAGTTCGTATTACTACAGAGTACAGTACTTACAGTACTTACTTTAAAATTCTCAAGTGTAGGCTAGATGATTTTGTGTTTATAGTAACTACTAAGTTAATAGCAGCATCAAGCACTCCATCTAAACTCGAATATCGATGAAGCTAGATAATAAACGATTGTCATTGTGGATTGAATCTGTATTAGTCACCGACGCAGCGTGTAGACATTCAAAATTATGCAAATATCAAATTAATGCGCGCTTAATGTTGCCATTCGTGATTTTCGACCACCTATTCAGCAAGGGGGGAAGTCTAGAATCAAAATGTTGCCTAAATAATAGGACGATGACATTGTATGATATAATTATTTGCGGTTTGAATACAGAGTTGTTGATCAATGAAACATTGAATATGTGTCTGCTTTGTTTTATGATGTGCATGTAAATTGAGTGCTTATATGCATGTAAGCACCTATGTTTGTACCTACCTATATAGTTTTTCTGCAGGGCAGCGGTATCACTTCCTGTCAATACTGCAGCTGTATAAGGTACGCTAGAGGTTTATCTGAGCATGTATGGTGGATAAAAGACACCATGTAGGTCATCTAGATGGTAATGAATAAAGATTTCTAGTTTTAACGACGGCCATTATTATTTATTCAAGCGTCACTCCAATCCTGTTAAATTCTTATTAGAATATTTTCGCGGTCAAAATAGAGCGACCATCTGCAAGCATGGTTGGAATATATTCTTTATTATTAAGTATATTTGAAATAATAGCTGTGCTTTTGGTTCTATAGATGCTAAGTAGAACGCTAAATAAAATTAGTACACAATAGGACCCTAGTGACACGGGTGACGCGTCGTATATTTTTTGATAAATTAATCGCTTCGTACTTTATTATTTTTAAGACAGACAACAAGAACATCACAGTATACTTTTATATTTTATTTATTCAGTAATCTGTGGTCCAAAAACTGTAATGCTGTATAATCTGGGTTGATTGATTGATGGTCCTTTTCGAGACTTGAGACAGACACTCATTACTTACAAGTTATTTACGGAGGTTCCCTATTTATGTAATACTAAAGGTAATTAGTATATACAGCCTTCAACTTTGTTCATAAATCAACATCGGCCTATCACAGGCCTGGGGACATAGTACTTTCGAAATTTACATCGGATATTGATTATTTTGGCCGCAGATGTTTCATTTTCCTTTACACAATCAAATCTAACATGCTATAGTTTAAGAGAGATATTCTAGTTTTTATCATAAAACCTTGATGTCTGTCATAAATATCTTCACATAGACTTATAATATTTAACAGTAGTAATGTTTAGAATATGGTTACCATGGTGATGTGTGTACATGGATAGCAAGTACTGTAATATTCAGTATCAGCCTTGAACTCAAAGAAAACTTGTAGACATGTCTACTTAATATTAGTTTATTTATTTCTGAGGTTGCTTTTATATTACTTACTGTGTAGCAACAGAAAATATATTTATATCTATCTTTATTATGTACATATTAGTCAAAGTAAAACCACCCAAATAGAATGACTTTAAAGCTGTTTATCCTTCATTGTGTAATTTGTAGCTTAAATTACTTGTTCATTACTTTCTTGTACAAAATCTTAGTATATAGAATAAGGTTTACTAACATATTTTACACTAATGTAAATTACCGAGAAGCCAGTTTTGTGAGTGCAATCAGATATGCAGTACTCTAACCAAAAACTTTTTATGCACCTCTTGATAATTAAAATTGAACCATGTCTTGTTAATTGGGTTTACAAACATTGCTGTTGTATACTGTAATAGTGAATCATAACTTGGTTGTGCAGGGTGAGTTTAAAAATGCACAAATAATATTTTTTAAGTATTTCACCTTGAAACCAGCAAAGAGAATTATGTTTTTTTTATTACATGGTTGAAGAAGATCCATAAAGGTATCACCTAAACCAAAACTTTGATTCCACTCTATGTACCAACTTGTTTCATTACTTTTCCTACCTTCACAATACTGGCATGCCAAACACTGTGAGAGAATTTATTTTCCCAGTGGAGCTTTAAATATATTCTGTATTTTGGAACAGAGTGATGAAATAATGAGGTCACTCATGACCCTAGGAACCAGAAATAGCTGTATGAGTACAGCTACTTGATCACAACATTGAGTAACATTAGAGCCTGCCAGTAGTGCCAGTGTGTGTGTATGCATTGTGCATGGCAAGAAGTCGTCAAGCCGGTCTCACTATCTAACACTTACTCAACACTCAAGCCACACGGTACCGCATACACCTCTGACCAATCCCATCGACGCTTCACACACGAGTTTCAACCATTTTCAATTTTAAAATAAATGCTTAACACAAGAAAAAAGGCACAAACTTCATTTCGTATTTAGATCACACCGTTATGTTATTTCTGAATGAAAAATGACTCAGGTGACAATTATTGATAATTTTGACCCAAATTACTATATTACGCACACCGGTAAAATTGGGTAAATGATAACAAAATAAATAAAACACACGTAAAAATTACGTACCTTCATTGTCGTTGTTTCCCTCAGCGCCGTACACCGAAGTCACCAAAACTCCGACGCACAAAACGCTCAAAAACCTCACAATCATTTTAACTGATTATAATCTCGCACTGAGTTCACAGTTTTATCGAAAATAACAATTTATACACTCGACATAGTCAAACCGATGACACTCGCGCTGCCGAGCAGCGATCAGCCTTTCGCAAATGGCGGCGGATGACGGATGTGTTCATCGATTGCACTCAGGTTGGGGCGTTTACAAAGACACTTATGAAACCGAAAAATGATCTTGCAACACCGACCACGTGGGAAAACGTAAAGTGTATTACAAAATATTTCATAATGAAAAATATATAATAAGATTTACATGTTTCTAAAATTCGTTTCTTAAATATCAGAACCATTTAGTATTTTTTTATAAAAAAACAATGTAAAATCGTGTCTAGTAGTGGCAACTCTAAAGTGTATGCAATGAACTCTGTAATAGTCTTATCTCTTTCATTCAACTATAAATAAGAGTTGTTAAACAGAGATACATACATAATTGCGACGTTCGACAGGTCTTGTTCGAACTTGATATCAATGTCACTTTCTAGAAAAATAGGGAAATCTGTATGGTTACAATGTGCAACATTCAAAATTATGATATTAAACTTAAAATGTAAAACAAAAATATAATACGAGTTGTATAATAATATTTGTTTATATAATAACATTTTACTCAATCACTTTTATTGTTAATTCATCATGAATCACTTAAAAACATTAAAAACATAATATCTTATTTTGAACATATTCGTCATAAAAAGTTACAATTTATAAAAACATTTTAAAATATTTTGTATGTCTGTACTTGTTGTTGTATCATATTGTGTTATTGAACTAGACTTTGTCATTTGTCTCACTTTGTCTTTGAATCAAATTGAAACAGAACTATTTTTTTATCGAATCAATGGAATATAACAACTAAGGTAAATATTTTTGAAGGAAAATAACTTCGTAAATGCACCAGGAAAAGAAAAGTTGAGTGCGCAATGATATATTTTCTCGTATGGCAACACCGTAGTTTCGAAAGTTCAATTTCGCATGGCGGACGTGCAAGTGAACTCTGTTATTTGTTGGTGATAATTTCATTTATTATCTCGTTGTGATTCCCTATGGAAAGACTAATTCTGATGCTTCTATTTCTGTGTGGTCGTGCTTTATTCATTCCTTAACATCAGATGATGCTAAAGTTTTATTTATAGTTGCATTTGTGTGAACTGCATAGTGTTTCTCAAAAATGGGAAAATGTGACGAAGCTAACGTCGAAGTTAGCATGGGGGACTCGGCGTCCCCTACTATGAAACCTGATAATTTCTCGTTCACCCCGCCTCCAGAGGCTCCAGTGTTTGAACCTACGCCAGAAGAATTCTTGGACCCCCTGGCATACATCAGCAAAATACGACCAATCGCCGAGAAGTCGGGCATTTGCAAGATAAAACCTCCAGCGGTGAGTAAATTTCTTTGTTTCGATGAGTAGGGACTATGTAAATAGGCGTTAAAACAGCATTATTATCGTTAAAACGCGAATATTGAGTAGTTTTCTAACCATAAAACCTCTCGCGAATTACGTGTGATGCAACCATATTACCTCGACTTATTATGCTGCTCGTTATCTAAATTTAATTTTTACCTTCTAATCCCGTGTATTACGTGTCAAGTGTCGTCTGAAATAGGTTTGCAACTCAATATTTTATTTATTTGGCCATAAATGCAGTTGCATATTGTGTTGTGGAGACTGGTTGCCATTTTGTGTCATGCCCTCCTGCCTACGATAGTTTAGATAAAAAAAGAACTATTGCGAGTTTTTGTCGTGACTAACTGTAATTTCCTCAGAAGTTGTCAAATTTAGACAATAATTTGACAGTGAGGAGTACTGTGGCAGGATTATTAGCATTTGAAATGGTGGCAAAGACACTTAGAGAATGAATGTGCATTTTGCTATAGAATATCCAACTAAATTATTGGTATGCAAGACCTACTTTCTGAGTTTTGCTCTGTGGGTTTTGAAACAGGCACAGGGACAAGATTGCTTTGTCTTTCAAATATTTAAAATAAAAAAAAAGAATAAAAATTGTAGTTTAGCCAATCAAGACAATAGGGACATAATTACCACAAAGTAGTGGGTTGAAGTTAAAATGTTTAGATGTTGCATAACATTTGTGATAAATCAATAATTTACAACTTTATCTTCAATATTTTGTATACACTTAGATAAAATTGCTAACTAAACCATGTGCAAAATTATAAAACAATAATTTGTCTGTCAAGCACTTCTTGGTTATAGAAATTTTCTTTATTTCTTTAAGCTAAGTACCTTCTGTAAGGAATTATTATAATTAAATGTTCAAAGTGTGGTTAAGAACATCTAGAACCATTTTATCAGGAACATTACTAGAGATAAATAAGTGAAGTATACAGTTTGCTCTCTAACCATCTTCATAATTTACTGTTAACAATAAACAGAAACTTCAATGGTATTTTTTAATTAACAAAGAGAATTACATACTTTTTATTTAAGAAATAATATTGATATTGCTTGTCTTTCTAAAAAACTGAGGTGTGTGTGGTGTAGGATGAATAAGCATTAAGTTTAAATTAAATAGCACACATAACCCATATTTTTAAGTGAATAATATTTAAAGAGCTTTTTAATACATGTGCCAGTGCCAGCTTAGCTTATGCTAGGCTGAGTAGGCTAGTAACATTTCTGAATAATTTTCTTTTAATATTATTTTACGGTCATAGTTTTTGAAAATATCTACCAAATATACCATTTTTAGTCTGTTAAAATGCCATGCCTGTATTAAAATGCCATACATAGCCAAAATTGCCTTACTGCATGATATAGGGAGACAGATGTAATAAAGATGGGCAACAGTGGTCTTCCATGTGAACTATGAACTAAAGACTAAAAAAACGGTTGATTAGTGATTGATGGTCAATAAACACATACAATGGAAGCTTACTGACTATAAACCTCCTGCTCATGGCCGGGACAGTGGTGCCTCATTGCATTGTTTGTCTCTCTTTTCTCATTCTTCCCTCAATTTTGGGTTTATAGTGAACACATACTTACCAGCTGAAAGAAACTGTCCAAAGTATAATGTTCAATTTAAGTGGTTAGAGAAGCGATTCCTTTAAGATTTTTTTCACATCAGAAGAACTAAAAAGGGAATTTAATAACACACCTATTATATTCTTTCATGTGAGAACTAGTGGCGAAATCAGTATGTTATTAAAACAGTACATACTTAAGAATTTCAAGTGCATTTGTTCTGAAAACAACTTATATCTTTGTGTATTTTTCATTTTATACAATATAAAATTTATGGAGGGATATCCCCATGTTGATTTTCGTGTCTTAAGCACAAATAGAGAATTTAGTAATACTGTCAGGGTTAAATTCCAAGTCATTGCACAGTGTATGATACTTTTACGTAGGCAATTTGGGCACCAAATTATGAGAAAGCTGCTAAAAGGTATATTTGTAAAAAATTTCAATGTAAAATTGTGTTCTACAATTTGTTTATTTACTTATTTGATTGATTATCTGTGTAAGTGATTCATTCATTCTTACATTCTGTACTTATTTTGAGGGTTCCTTATGTGGATATTTCAAAATAATATAATAAAGCTACTAACTACTTACAAGTCTTTTTAACCTACTTTTTGAATACAAGAGCGAGCAACCCAATAGTTGTAAAAAACAGTATGAAGGTTATATATTTAATTGACCTACTGACTGAATTGTGGTCAGCCTGACAAGTCCCTTACATCTAATTTATGTTGCAAAAGGAATCATTATAATATATGTTATGGTAAAGTGATATTAAAAAATATTGCTGCTGTTTAATGGTAGTGTCAATTTGTGAAAGTGCCACATTACAATAAAATAAAATAGAAGAACATTACTGTTGTTCTGTAAACTACAGTTACTTTCATAAAGATTTCAATGAAAATGAACTTTCTCATAACAATGCAACATAAATGTAGATAGAGAATCATTAGAGTAACAGAAGTACTTGTATGTTTGTGATAGTATTTCCTTTTAGAAATATAAATTTGTTAGTTAACTGTCAAAAAACACCTAGTTTTAAGTGGCATAAATCTGAGCCTACTAGATTTGCTAAAAGATAAAAAAAGAAACAAATTATTAGTTTTTTAACTCAAAATTATTGTTTACACATTTAAGAATACAGACATGTTGTAGTTTGATTCAGGAAATATCTAAAACCAAATACATAATAACAGGGTTTGAGTGGAACATAATATAATGAAGTAACATTCAGATCCTATCAAAGTAATTATAGTTAATTAACACTATTCAATATTAAGAACTACTTCAATTACATGTGGTAAAATCTAACTACTCTGATACATTCCAAAGTATTTGCTTTTAAGTATTGAAAGATTGTATCATTGAGTCCTTGATTCATTTTCAAAGAACAATGTGTCATTGGCATAGATAGAAAAGCTTATGGATAATATAGATTATGTGGTTATGCAATTGTGTGCTTGATTTGATAAATATAAAATTATCTTTTCTTAAAAAACATTCCTTCATTATGTTCCTATTTTGATTCCTTAATGTACATACATACTTTTTGTTAATTTTAATTACATATTTTTGTTTACAGCACTGGCAGCCCCCATTTGCAGTTGATGTGGACCGGTTAAGATTCACTCCGAGAATACAAAGACTCAATGAGTTGGAGGTAAGCTGTTATACTAAATTCTCATATTCTTTGTTTACAAAATATTGCCAACATTTAAGTTGGGAGGTATTTTTAACTTATGAAAATCTTAAATCAATAGTATTTAAAGCCTAATACCAAGAACCAAACTAAGTCAAAAGTACCCTTAATTGACGAAGAAATTGAGTAATGTACAATAGGGTCATTTGATTGTTGGGCTTTAATTATTTTTGCCTATCCTAATAGAACAAGTGTGAGGGCATAATATTTATGTATACGTTCAGCTGTGTATACTGTTACTGTTTGCTGAATAAACTATCTACTATTAGGAATACTAACTAACTAACTACAGTTAGGAATTAAAGCTCGCCAATATTTATTAAGTTTTTGACTGCTGACAAAAACTGTTAAAGGGTAGTCTTCTGCTAATGTTGGACAACATGGCGTTCTAAGTCCTAACTTCCTAGTTTTACCTAATTTTAAGTTTGTTGCCCTTGACACATTTTTTTTTTCT